AATAACCAAGGAGTCGCCGTGCAACAGATTGTATCATAGTAATTAACATGTAGTTAAAAATTTGTTTGGATACAGTCGATATGACTACACTATAATTGCATCGAGATGACGAGACTGATTCACAATTGTCGGTTACTAGTACAGTTGTCATCGCGATGCAAGTGCGCCGACTGCGTTGAGCCAGTTTACGACTGCATTTCAATTTCTGTTTTGCAATGGCAATTTGAATGCAGCTTTTGTGACCACACCAAGTGTGAAAAAAATGTAAAAAAATGATAGAAAGTGATGAGAAGACTGAACAAAAAAATACAAATTACATTAACATAATATTGAGAAACAAAATAGCGAAAAATAAATATTCTTACGTGTGTGTGTGTTTTACATATTTTCCAACACATTTCCTCCAAACAATAACCGCGGTTGACTTAAAACACAATTACCATACCCTTGGGATGCCACTCACCCTTTTATAAAGAGGCATCGGTCGCTAAATTGAAATGGATCGGATTCGAGAGTCCATCCATCACGCTCTTTGCGCCACATCTAATGGTTTTTTAATAATTCGGACTTTGTAGGACTGTGTGGGTATTGCGGACGGTAATAGCAATTCACATTTCATTAAACATTCTGATATTTTCGTGTAACTATGCAAATTAGTAGTGCAAGATTTTTTTATACAAAATACTAATAGAGTTCGCGTACTATTTATTTAAACATCTATCGATCTATATTTATTAATTGTTGGATATCATAATGTTTTTATTACCGTGATATTCATCTATTTTTTGTGAAAATACTCCACTAGTTTGTATTTCATATTTATGAGGTTATTTTATATAGTTATTATCATAGATACAAATATAGAACAAACACAAAGAAAAATTCCTTTGATCCGACTGGAGTCGAACCAACGACTTCATATATGTATATATATATAGAGAGAGCTTCAAATCTTTGGAATTAATATATTCATCAAAAATTCACCTAATAAAGTAAATACTATTATATACTTAATAAACAATATGAAAAAGGACGAAAAGTACCATTATTAGAAAAAATGATCGAGAGCCGATTGTTCCGATTTTGACAGACAATTGGCAGTTCTCGGTCTAGATAATTGAATAATCGAATGAAGCCCAGACGACGCAGTTGAGTGGAAAAATGTCATTTCAGATGTGAATTGATGATAAAATGGGAAAGAGAAATAATTTTTATTACATGTTAAAAGATCAAAAAATTAGGCTTTCTTTGACATGCATAAATTTCAAACAAAACAACAAAAACATAATAATACTAAATTCAATTAAAATTAAAAAAATAAGTACTACAGTATAAGTATTCTATCCTTTTTATTCAATAAACGAAATAAAAAATAACTGTGTGTAAAGGTTTACAGATCTGAATTTAATTATTAATTCATTGATTGAATACAATGAAAAATTTCTTCGATATGTTAGGATGATAGATTAGATTATAGGATAGGAGGATAGGTTGCCCTAGATTGGCAAAACAGATTCAGGTATCAGTTAGATCTTTGTATTAATTATATAACAAACTAGTGGAGTAATTTTAGAGTTAGTAAAACAACATTTTATTCGTTAAAATCAATATTACAAATCTGAATTTAATTTAATAAAAATAAATTAAATAAAAGCAATTCCAATCAAAACTGAACAGACAAATAAATAACCAAAAACAATGTAAACACCGAACTATTTAAACACAAAAGCGTGTTTTGTAAAACAATTTAACAAAAGCATAAATCTGTTGTGTCATAAGCGAGAAGTAAGACAATAAAGGAACGAAGACAGGAATGCGAAAGGGGAGAACAAAACAACCGCTGACCGCTATAAACAACGACAACTATGTGGCCACCTTTATATTTCATGCAAATCGCAAGTAAACTGTTTGCGGAATAATCGTATTGCGTGATAAACGGTTATAGCTGACTTTGGACGGCCATTGTTTGCTTAGACGTTAGGCTTCGCTGGACATCTTATAAACGACTTTTAAGTCTGACAAAATCCCAACTTACATTGTAAGTATGTAAAAAGGTTACTTTAGTAGATAATGTGACTACATAATTTAATAATATTATTGTTACGACAGTCGTGGTAGCCTCAAGGTCAAAACCTACCGCTACTCAAGCAGATGGTTTGAACCCAAACTTGCACTTTTGTATTTTTAAGAAATTTTGTTTGAAATTTACCCAGAGGTTTTCTTTCCGGTGAAGGAAAACGTGTATACTGTATATATATGTACTTTCTAGGAAATTTTATTAAATAATTTTGTGTACAGGAAACGATAATAACGTAGAGCTTTAATTGGAACTGACGAAATCAAATTTCAAACATTGGAGATAAAGATAAGATAAGATAAAGATAAGGTTTACAGGCATAAAATGTCGTGGTAGACTAATGTTTTTACTCTGATTGTGGTTTCGAATCCGGGCTTGCATCTCTGAGTTTCGGAATTTAATGGCGAAATTAAATTTGAAATTCACTATGAGCTTTTCGGTGAAGTAAAATATCGTGTGGAAACCTGCAAACATCTTCAAAGCAATTTGAAATTTTGAAGTTTGATTTGTGTCAAATTCCCGATCTGCGCGTGGGAACTATAGTCCAATTCCTCTCATTGTGAAAGGAGGCCTATGCCCAGCAGTGGGTGTATACATAGACTATAATTATTATGTTCTTATTGGTACGATACATTACTATACATTGTAAGCTTGATTGATACAAGAGATATAAACAAGTCGTCATAGGTCTCGTTTCAACAACTCCGCGATTCTCATTAGAATGAAAGGGAAAACTTATAATTTCACATAATATTTGCCACAAACTTCGCCTCCCCGTATTTATTTAGCGTGTGGGTGTCTAGTTCCGAACAACCTACATTTTATGTAATATAAATAATATTAATGTTTATTTTACTTTTTTGTACAAAATACATTTAATTTATTTCTGAAATATATTTTCGTTACAAATTGTATTATTCACAAGAAGAAAAATTCACTTACACGCATAATAACGACATAAACGTAAAAAACGCGTTATCTAAAAACGCGTCGTCTATTCTGCCATAAATGTTACAAATAACCGTCGAATGACGTGTCATTAAATAATACGGTCGAGATAAGTACAGATTAATGTGGTTTTTATATCGCAGAATCGATACGGCATTTCAAACAACCCCCGGGCATTACAACCGCGAAACGGAGCGATGTATGCGATCACAAATTATGATATAGCGAAGCGTTATCGCAAAAAAATTAAAATCGTTTTACTTGCTTAGCGCGCCGAATTTGCTTAAAAATATTTGTAAAGAAAAAGTCAAATCAAGTGAAGAGATTTTATTTTATATGACAACAAAAACAATATGTCCTTATATGATATTTAATCTTCTTCTTATAGTACCGCTGGCATACAATAAATAGCTTCCCATCGTGGTGAAAGGATTTGCGCAGAGTCCGCCAGACGTACAGAAAAGGAATAGTACGTCCCGTCGTGCATGGAGACTTATGCTGGCGTTTTTTGACTTTAAATAAAATAGTCCATAATAAGTATTGTTAGTTTGCAATCATGATCTGGGAGCCTACCACAACCTCTTAAAACAATATTACTTTAACGTTACATTGACTTTTCGTACCATGACGCGCTTAAAGTAAGCTTATTGTTATGTCAAAACTATGATGTTTTATTGGCAGCTTTGTGACTATTCATTCACTCAGTCGTACTATGACGTGACTTTAACATTAAAGTAATATTATCTTGCTCTTTTGTGAAATTTAGCAAACTTAAAATACACGGATGCAATGGAAACAATATTATCTTCAGTTTTATTGTCTTAATATTGATTTGTAATGATTAAAAGTTAAGTTGAACCTATTTATTTACATATATCTCTGGAGAGATATTTTGTTTATTTTTTATTTAAAAGCACATAGGAAATAATTTTTCGTTAAATAAAAATACGCAATGTTTATTTCGGTAAATTTTAACAACGCCATCTATATGCTCCTTGGCGAAACTAACAGTTGACACTAGACTACAGTTCCGAATTCACAACGTGACTATCAAGACTCAGCTTGTTTTATTTATTTATCTTCATGAAAAAGCGTAGTAATTATTGAAAACAACGTAATTTTAATAGATTTTTTTATTACATAGGTACTTTTCTTTTCTTAACAGTCAAAATTGTCTGAATGTAAATAACGTTAAGAACTTAAACATACTACGATAAGACCATTGGGAACAACAAAAAAGAAAGAGATGGCATTATACAGTTCACATAGCGTTATCTCTTTCCTATTTTAGTAAGGATCATTCGTTCTTTCAATCACTTTTGCAATAATACATTACTTGGTTGACAGGTTCGTCATGGTACGAATATGAGTAATATTATAATAAGCTTACTTTAAGCTTACATTGAAATAAAATTGTTTTTGGAAAGGTTATGGTAGGCCCCCAGGTCGTATTTTGCATACTGCAGTGTATACTATATTGTATCATACTCAAATAAATATGATTATTGAAATGTACCACTTTTGCAAACTGTTACATAGAGCTTGTCATACCTTTTCACAATAAATTCAAATATTATGCTTATAGTTGTTATTGTCGAGAAATTTGAATTACAGATGACATTTTACTTTTATATCGGTGTTCCTAATTCATATTTCTTAATGCTATAGCCTGTCGTAATTCTAAGCCTGCTTGTAATCTGCCATCTGTTGTCATCTTTTGGTATTATTGTGGTCATAGCCAATACCGCCAAAACAGCTATTCCTCGATGATGTTTGGCGGTTTTGGCGGGAAGAAATTTATATAAATAAGCGCCATTGACTTACAATTATATGGACGTCGGGTCCGCGCTAAAAAGTGTCCGCACTTGTAAGGCGCTAAAATCGTATACAGAGCGCCAAACTCCGCTTTAGTCTTCATTTGTTCTACTGACAGCGCGATACTGCGATGACATTACAATTTAAATTTCGAATAGGTTGACTTGGGACATTTTTTTCGTGGTTTTTGTATTAGACCCGTCGTCCATTTATTTGTAAGTCAATGATAAGCGCGGAATCTTTTGTATCGGTTCTTTTTCCTTTGTACTCTGACTGGAGAAATAAACCATCACAAGCGAATAACGTTTTTAGTAATAATATGCCAGAAAACACACCAATTATCTGGTCGCAAACTAGAGAATTCCTTGCACTTAGACCAGACTAATTTCGAAAAGTCCGTTTCTGAATTTTTATCTATCGATAATTGAACACGGAACTTACCTAGCGCCATCATATTATAGCTCAAATCGTTAGGCCACCGAGGTCGTTTATGAAAATCAAATTCGTTCGCTACGGGTATTATCGGGTGGTTGGTATATTTTGTAATTTTTCTCATCAGAGCGAGCGTAAGCTGGAAGTAGAGTACAATTAATTAATATATTTGTGTTTATAATTTAATAACACGTATTAACGTGGAACGAACAAAGGTAATAATTTGGTAAATACGCTTTATGTAGAAAAAACAAAAACTACCCATATAACCCAGAATTGAACCACTCTTGAAAATTTTATTTTCCATATTAGTCTTACCTGGCAGCGAATCCAAAACTTTCTCGTCCAGTGTCCACAGTGCAAACCGTTGGGCCACCGAAATCGTTATTTACCGTTATATCTACAATTGACGTTTAAATAATTCCCTAAGTATCGTAATATTTTAAGTGACACTCATATTTCAAAGCTATGAAAAAGTTTGCCCTACCGTACATAATATTGGAAGGGCAAGCATCTGCGCAGAAATCACCCGGTCACTAGAATATTGTTTTCACTATATTAGAAACGTGATCGCAATTTTCAAGAGCGAAAAAATTCTATTTCAACTCTACTTCACTGACGTTGGGCATATTTGATTATACGTGGAATGTGTATTCCCTTTTACAGTGTTATAAAGTGAACGATATTGCAGTATTTTACGATTCGATTTACATGCGATATTGAAAAATTCAGTTTGATTAAAATTTTAGTGCTATCGGTTGGAAAATAGACTACATATCAAGATCGATTCCTATCAGTTGTGGAATTTGAACTTTAAATAAAACAAACGAAAACTGTTTGTAAAATTCAATGGATTCATTTTTAGGTGCGAAACAACACAAAGGTTGGTCAGTATTTTGTGTCATCGCCAAAAATTCCAATACTCGCATAAATATTTATGTAATTAATTGAATTAATACTCAATACTTTATTGTTTTTCCATAGTGTTAACAGGCTGTTACAAAATATAATACAACACTTATTATTGAGAAATTTATTATTGACACTGACACAAAGATGTAACAAACGATGAAGACAAATTCATGGGAGCCACGTTCACAGTCAGACCGAAGGAATGCTCCACAAACTAGTGGAGCATTTTCACAAATAGATGAAGATCATGATAGTAAAAACATTATGATAATCAATAAAGATAAATATTGTTATTGAATTTCAGTTTTTAATTAATAATTCGTCTGATTACAAAGTATTAAATGTCTATAATTATATGATGACGCAAACCACAAGTAAAGCCTGTCCAGTTCATATTGCGAGCTTAAACTATTAGTAACTTGATCCGGGGAAACTGCTCTCGGCTGATAGACGGCATTTAGAGCTAATTCCGGTTAGCCATTATAGGCAGTTCGGTTTGATACTGGCTGTCTGAATTGGGAATCGAACTTTGAGGGTCAAGTCGCCGTCGTATGTGTGTTGGTTGAGAGGCTGTGTGTGTTTACGACAGTAAAACGTATCTTTGGTGTAATAACCTCATGAGACCCTGCAAACTATAATGGAAAAACTACTAAATTAAACGCTCCAATCAATATACATTAAAATGTTCTAAATATAAAATATAATTTGTGTCAAAGGGCTACAAGACGTCGTAGAAATTTTTCAAAGGCATATAATGTAATCACATAGTGATTCATGATTTTTGTACAAATAAACACATTCAATAATGATACAAGTACAAATAAATATAGCCACACATCATTGCCAAGACAATGAAATTAAACTGAGGGTTGCTTGTTATCTCAGTTAATTTCCTCAGTCAGTCATAGCGAGTGTAGTTCGTGACGTCACGCCGGATGAAGTCCAAATGTCTTCGAAATTACACGTCGTTACGTAAGTTACACAAATGTTTTCATTGTTATTGTTTTTTTTTATATATTTAGAAACGTGACTAATAAGAACCCATTAAGCGACAAGTTTGCAAAAGTTAATAACATTTTTTATGAACAATGATGTATGTAAATTATTTATTTCATGGGTTGTTTCATGTGAAATAGTCAAAATAACCCATTGAAGAAGCCCAGTGCTTATCTAAATAAGCACTGGGCTTCTTTAAAAGGTGCTAAAATACAAAAAAAAAAGGGATTTGAAAGATTTTATTATGTTATATGATATTATATACCCATTTAATTTAATAAACCTAAATATTGTTCATTAAAAGCCTCGTGTAATTCTTTTGTTTCATGTATCAAATTTAGGTTTGAATTTAATACTATCGGTCGGAACCACACAAATTATAGTCGATTATATTGTTAGTCAAACTGAAATCAATAGTGATCGTGTTTATTCAACGTTTACAACTTGTTGTGTTTTAGTTTCACCGCGCAAGTTTACTTTAACAACGGTTTAGTAAGTTATTTGGTTTGTAGTTGTAAGTTATGCATCGATCAATGATTTGTTAGTACCTATATACAATAATTCCATTTATCAAATTGTTATTTTCCGGATTTAAAATCGTGTATTTTTGTTAGAAAAAAGAAATATATACTATTTCGACGATATCGGACTCTCTACAGGCCGTCGGAAGAAAATAGTTTAATCTTCAATGTGTAGCTACCGTGAAAACGTAAAGACTCGAAATTCCATTTGTATTTTTAAATTTCCATTTTAAAATGTTGCTACATTTGAAATGTTTTGTATTAAAAATTGTATAGTAATTTGTTTTTAAGTTACTCAAGTATATATTTTAAGACCTTTTAGAAGTGTACCATCATTTTTATTAATAGTTAATAATAATTTTAAAAATAACTGCGTGTATTACCAATTTTGATTTTTAATACGAGTTTATTCCTGTATTTAAAACGAAAATAATCAAGATTCGTAAAGTCTATGTAATAAGCTTAATAAAGGCACTAAGTATAATACAAGTGTCCCAGCAAACCTTTGTCTAGCCACAGAAACAAGCTACGGAAGTCGTTGGCGGTTCCGTTCCCCCTCTCCCTTCAGGAAACCCTGCACCTTTCTCAGACCGATGAAAGAAATTCTTTCCTAACTTCGTCGACTACATTTAGTCGCCGGTCGAAAACTTTGTCGGGCAAATGAAAGATTTCCGATTTATGTCTCGAACAAAATAATCTTGTGGTGAAATAGTAAAGTTGTTGTATACATTTCCCCCGATTTTGTACGATGTCAAGTTGCGGTATTCAATTTAGAAATTATAAAAGTAAGTAAAACCTATCTTGCCAACCCTTTGTAACCGACTTCAAAAAAGGAGGAGGTTCTCAATTCGACTGTATGTTTTTTTTGTATGTATGTTACGCGATAACTCCGGCATTTGTGAACCGACTTTGATGATTCTTTATTGTTGGAAAGAAGGTACCTCAGAAATGGTCTGAATGGTCAGAATGGTCATTTAAATATAAAGAAAATATTCCATTTCTAAGGGTAGCAAACTAGGGGATGAATGACTTTTGAGGTCGGTTTTTTAGTACTCTGAAAGACAAAGACTTGGTATCCTGATAATAAAATATGTGTCTTCTTAACTACAAAATTCTTATATATCTTTAAAAGAATGTAAATGACAAAAAAACTTTAAGGAACTTGAAACTGAAAACAGTTTAAATATGTATAGTCTCTAATTCCACAATAAAACCAGAGCTATCTCTCACAGACGTAGCTCGAGTCCCGTGCTTAGTTGCAAACTAAACCGTGATTTAATTTTAAAGCCCTCGGCGTTCAGTGGCCTCTTAATAAATCTGCTACTTAGACGTCCGGGGTTCGACTCCCGGCGGGCTCCACCGACTCCGTTTCAAATTAACTTGTTAGCCTTTACTGACCACAGGATATTAGAACTTCAGTTGACGAAAAGTTAGTATAGGAGAAACTTTAGGAGAAATAGCTCCTAGCATGGGGATCAATTCTATTGATATTTTCAATGTAGTAAGAGATTTGGGGATATTTCTTGGACTATAATTTCGATGGATGTAATTTAAAATTGACTCATGTCATTGTCTTATGATATGACAATGATATTTTCAATTCAATGGAACATTACTTTCATAATTATGAAACCATTTTCATTGCCACGCTTTTGTAGCGCATCAGGCACGTTCGCGGGGGCGCATATTGACAGCTTTAAAGCGATAATACGCAAGAGAACTATCTCCTTGATGCGTCCCGTCCGTGACAGTTCCAACAGCCTCGTACGGTTGTTCTGGGAGTACCATACTTGCGACACGTGGAAGCACTGGAATCAAGTTCATATGGGTTCCAGAGGCCCGATTGTTAATATAATGTAAATGTTTCAATTTAATTTAATTTCTACTTCGATGTGATTGATAATTTGATTTCTTTTATTTCATTGATTTTCGTGGATTTGATTCAATTGTATGTTATAATCATTTTCATTACTAACATAGGATATAAGTATATTTGTAACTAACATTTATGGACATGGTCTGAAATAAATAAACAATTTGAATTGAATTTAATTTAATAATTAGTGTTTCAGTCAAATTTAACAGCAAATAAAGAGTATGAGAATACCTATGTACTAACCTGCAATTGTAGGTTACAAAAAGCATTCATAGACAACAAATCCCTTTACCAAATATATAATTTATATTTACGAACGAATTTTCCTCGTATAAATTTTTTATTAAATACCTTTATTGTGAATTTGATTTTTTTATACATTTGCTTGTTATCTTCATAACGGACCGACCTTTTTGTTACGCTCTGTATAGTTGAAACTGTGGTAACCGTTTCAAATTATGAAAGGATATATAGTAACGTATAGTAACGTATTATGTAATATTTTATACATTTGTTATAATTATTATTTCAAAGATCGGACACTAAGAAAAAATGTCTTCGATCCGGCTTGATTCGAACCAGCATCTTCCAGCAAATCGTGTCAGGCGCTATGCTAATTAAGCCACGGAACGAACTGACGGTTCTTACGAATTTTTCTTTGTTCTTGTTGCAGATCTTTGTTTTTGGTTTTTAAAGATTTTTTTGCCGTATTTGCCGTAAACTAGGGGAATAATTAAAAAAAAAAAACAATATCATGGTGGTCAAATATGGCGACATTCAGTAAACTTATAAATGTTTGATATATTCGTATCTGTTATTGATATATCTTTTGTACAAGATTTGTTTCAAGAAAAGTTGCACTGAAACCACGTTCAGGCAATCAGTCATTCGGCGTGCATGGTCGCCGCTTCACAGCTTGCTTCGCTAGTGCATCAGTGAATCGTAAACTAGCAAGTATACTGATATTCAAAACTAATCTCGTACTATATGAAAATACGTGTGAATATTGTGTTTACATCTGAACTTACATATAGGACAATGTTGGTACTGTCGTTGTTTCCAATTTTCATAATATAAGTGCTTTACTTACTTACTTTGGGATCAGAGCAGCGTGTCATGATGTCTAATGTTTGGTACTGTAATACTATATAAATTACGTTTGATTTAATTTAAATTCAGAATTCAAAATAATATTTACCTATTTTTCACCGACTTCAAGACGAGGAGGTTCTGAATTGGACTGTTTTTTGCTCGTATGTTACGCGATAACTCCGGTATTTGGGAACCGATTTTGATGATTTTTTTTTTGTTGGGAAGGGGGTAC